TCGTTGTGCAGCAAACACTGTTGATGGATGTTTACAACAGTTAACTGGACACATTGGAGAAGAATTTATATTAAATCGTCCAACTTTGTGGGGGGGGGGTTATTTTATGATCTTGTGTTTCTGCACGTGAGACTTATTACTTACACATTCCAAATAAAGTTGGTAAGCGCCCATGAACGGGATTTTGGTAAACAGGCAATATAATTTTTATGAAAGGGACATTTTTGCCGCTTTTCCGCCTTTCGTTTTGTCGAACATCAACAGTCCGCACTGTCAAGCAATCAAGCACACATTAAACGCCCCCTCCCAAGTAGTCTAGGTATTGGTTACTTCCCTCACGCAGTACACCTTCAGTTCTATTTCCCTTCTTTTAATGAAACCATGTTCCCTTTTTAGTGCAGCTTCTCAAATACGTCATTTATTTACATAATGCACACTTTTTATTTCTGTAGTAATAGAACTTGGTTTTCAAAGTCCAGTCAAAGTCGCTCTCTTTCCTGGCAGGGAGAAACTTTGGAGCCTCATCAATCGATCAGAACGTCTTACGTTGATTTCATCGAGAGTTTAACAAGGACCGTAAAGACGCCACAACTCACTCAAGCTCTTCCACTGCACACTTATCAGATCTATTCATGCAAGGTAGGATGATATAATGTTTTACTGAGCCAAGAAAAGTCATGGGAACAATTACCCGTGATCCAAACCCAGATCCCTGGGCTTTATGTGCCAGTTAAAGAGAATTTCTAGAAGCTGAAGGATGAGGGATCTGCTCATTAAATTGAATAAACCGAAGCGCCTTAAAGATGTGCATCCACACAAGTGCAGTTGTGTATGATCGGTATCGCACGACGACTCGCAGGGAAATGTTACATCACCTCGGACCTCACACGCAGTCCCAGAGGAAGGTCAGCAGCAATCAACGTCAACGCTTTAGTGTAAGTGAATACTCTCCCAGAGTTAACCATGTCTCCAATCTGCTGTTTCTTCAAGCTTGTCTCACGTGGATGAACTTAAGCATCCGTGTCATAAATTGAGTCCGGCTGTAAAGCTGTGCTGCGGCCCGACCTGATTACCTGGAAAAGGTTTTGCCATAAAAAAATAGGGCTGTCCTTATTTGACCGCCCTAGATTATGTGTTCCTAAAGCAACGTTTAAAATATATATATATATAATAATATATGATAGTCTGTTTGTTCTAACTGATGAATGAATGAACATTTACTGGTTAACAGTCGCTGAGTTTAATGGTAAATAAATAAATGGTACCTCTAACTTTCCAAGCTCCCGTGATAGGAAATGTGTCAATGAGGTTTGTTTTCGACGTCATTTTAACTTTTAAGAAATAACCAGTCCAACCAGAGTTAACCTGAAAAATGAATAGTGGCTTTAAACTCCCACACGATCACCTTTCAATTGCCCCCGAGTCTCTTCAGGTCTGTGCGTGACGTAGTGCCAAAAGAATGACGCAATTGCTAAAGTTCAAAACTGTCTTTTACAATGAGGTAACAAGAAAGGAGCCCTAACGTTGATCCAAACCCCATTAGAGGAACAGCGAGTCACTTGCTTGTTGTGTCATCTTTGTCGGTAAATATTACGTCTCTGACCAATTGGGTTCTCAATGCAGACGAAAAGTTTGTTTGGAAGGACGAGGCATTTCTTCTCCCATCATTCCAGCCGGTGATGATAATCACGATCCTCCTGTATTCTCTGCATATCTCCTCTTTGAAAGCATGTGCTTTTTTTGTACACGGTATTAAAGAGCTGAACCCTTAGACCTGTATTGTCTAAGGGTTTTGTCTAAAGATCATCAGGAGTAGTACACGCTTCAACCAAAACAGCAAGAGAAAGTAAACTAAATAAAACATCTGCTTCGGAAATTTACCTGAAAAACAAAGCTGAAAGTTTTTGGACACACGCCTCATTTGAAATGGATTCATCAAAACCCCCTCACAGTTTAATAGGCATTGCTTGCTTAACCATTTCTGAACCCAAAAAAATTCTTCACTTTGACTATCTGTCTGTCACCCCGTTTCACCTCCCTTTAGCTTTTCCTCTCTTCAACCTTCGACTGATTCATCCTGCGATGATTTCAGCTCTCTAGAATGGAGCCTAACTTTTTCCATTCCAAGCAGCCCCGTGACCCACTTCCATCAAAAAGAAACAGCAGCATGTGGAAAACAGTTAGAAGACCTGCATTCCTTCACAACCACACATTCTTTCACAAAAGATTTTTAATGGTCTTGTAATAAACAAATGTGCGGTGTATTCAAATGTACGACAACGAGCTTTCTTCTGAATCAACACAATAATGGCCGGGGGGGGGTTTAGTTTCTGGCATTGAGCAGCCGGTTTTGAAAAATATCTGAATCTATAATGTCAGAGCCACGTGTGGAAACTCAGCCGGGCCTGGACTCAATCAAGCCGTCGTGGCCTTTTGCCCCTTTCTGAAAAAGGGAAAGAGCCGGAGGCTTTGCTGCGTGCGGAGCAAACGCCTGACGCTGGGGGCAACGGCTGGCTGATGTTTTAGCGCCGCGCCGTTCAGCACGGGCGCCTCGGCTTGAAAGGGAAAGCGAAATCCCCAACAACTTTGGACCGATTTAAAAGGCAGAGTTTGTGTGTTTCTGCTTTTTGTATGCGTGCGGTTGTCGGCGGTGCCGGCGACGAACGTCAACCGCTTCTTGATCAAAGCAGCGGGAACAAACAAACGGCTCGAAGACACAGAGGAAATTGAGCGGCAACGTCAGAAAAATAAAAGTGATCCCATCGCCAACACATGCTGCAAATGAAATAAACAGGGTTCAGCGGTTCATAGATTTAGATTTACATATTTATCCGGTTTATATCTACATAACAATCCCAGATAGCCCACGCACGTTAGCGCACGTACGGCTAACGTGACGCTCCCGGTGTTGTTGCTGATACGTTGGTGTTTGACGCCTGGTGGGAGAAGCAGTGGTGTGGAGTCCACGTCTTGGACGGCGCTCCTGTTTTCCTGCTGGTGGTTCCGCTTGGTCCTGTTGCATTGGTTATATGCGCCAACCCCCCCCCCCCCCCCCTCGCGCCAGTCATCATTTCGTATTGGAACACACACACGCACACGTACAAATTGAAGCATGTCTTTATTCTCTCTAACATCTGTAGCAGTTTGTATCTGTTTTTGTCCACTGGTCTTTTCCTGTTTTTTGTCTTAATTTCATTATTTCTTTTTCTAAAGCAAAAAAAGACGTCTTCTCAGTTAACGATTTCTGTTTTGTATCTTCAGAATCAGGTTCCATGAGGTGCATCGCATTAACCGACAATATCCAGCGCTCCCTGCCACTTGTGGCCAATGGAAATATTTGCAGCAAAGGGAGGTTCATCATTCACTGAAGACGTGTTTATTAGTTTAAAATATGACAACCGTCCAACAAAGTGTTGACAAATTGAACTGTTATCGCTCCAAAATAACCACTTTGGAGCCAACTTCAACAAACTACTGCCTGCGCTCCTCAGATAAGGGCTCAGTTAAAGTAAGGGAAGTAATACAACCGCTCAATGTAATATAATTATATTATATAAAAGTCATGTTTTTGGAGAAATACCTTTTGTCCAGTGGGTGATTTACACATGTTCAACGAGGAGGATTTGGTTCATTTCAGGTTCATTAACGGCTATATTTCAGTGCACTAACCTGTTTATTTTGATCCACTTTCTTGAATTAAACAGACCCGATTCCTTTCCCAGCGAATGTTGGGTTTGGCTATGAGGCAGAATTGTGCATTATGTGTAGAAAATGGATATAATTAATTTTTGGGAGAGTCAAGACAGTAATATTCTCTGAGCAAGCAGTGAGGAAAACACCGGCTGGGCTGTTGGGTCACGGAAAGAGCAAAACGTTTTTAAAAGCGTTGTGAATATCCCATGGGGTAATAATGAATTGGCAACACTTAGAAATAAGACATCTTGCCATTTATTAAGCCCCCATCTGTTTTCCACCTGGTTAATGTGGTGCTGACACAGTCATGGTCATACTTTTTCCTTTTTTCTTTTATAAGTGATTTCACACAGATGGACAATAATTCGTGTTCAAACATCACATTAAAGTCTGAGCACCAGAATTGGATTTCAGCGTCTATTCCTTGTGAAAGATCTTATCTGTGTTCAGTTGTTCAACATTTGGAGTAAATCATTAGTTTAATACTCACCACTGGCTTTTCAAAATCTAACCATGCAAATAAAGATACTATTTCAAGCAGAGTTGGAGGAAGTTTTCGAAAGACTGCCCACACAAGTATTAGTATTGGCAAACTTCAAATCCAAAAGCCATGTTCTGAGGCGTGTGGACTCAATCCTTCAGTCATTGATAGAGGATCAGTTGAAATTTATAGCCGTAAGATACAAACTTTGTCTTCAATTTCATGCAACTTTATATTTCTACTCCACCACAGTATATAGATATGTACATATTGTGTTTTAGAGTCCACTACAATATTTGAATCGTTAATAGTCACATAGCATTTGCATTAAATAGTATTGCATGTTAAACTCACTACTATTAACTAATGAATGCATCAATAATACAGCAATAATTATACAGTAATATAATATAAAATACAATCACACTGGTAGTGGCCAATTATAATTACATTGAATACTTGATGCTTTTGTTTAAACACATTCTCACTGCAGGACTTCTACAGTAATCTAGTATTTCCACAGTGTAGTTTTTCTTTATCTTAATTAGGTGACATTTTTCATGTTAATTTTCCATTCCGTTCATTTGGTTGGTTCAGTTTACCGTAGCTGTTGGCTCCGGTTCTCCCGGGTCTCCCTTCCCTCCCGCGGGCCCGGCGATACATCGGGGGTCTCCAGCAGCGCGGCGTAAGTGTTGGCCCCGGCTGGGGGGCTCACCGTTTGACTTAAAGCGTACTCGAATCTTTCATTATGTTGATTAAGGAGTTCTGTTTCGGCTTTGGAAGCTTTTGCTCAGAAAGAATGTGGCAGCAGGAGAATACGATATTATTCGTGTTTTTTGGATCGCTGCGGTTTTCCAGAACCGTTTATTCAGTCTCTCACAATTCCTGAGCAAATATTTGGTCTTTTATTCTTTGTCTGCATACACACAAACCTTACACAGTAACTTCCAATGAAATATGATGATTTCCAACAGGATGCCAAAAAAAAACAGTATAACGGGTAAAGAACACAAATAAACAACAAAAGTAGCTGTCAAAAGGTATTAAAAAAAATGAAATTCATATCTCGCGATTGAAAATTAACAGACCTGTACACACCTTAAGTGCCCATTCTTACAGTTTGCTCTGCAGCTTGTGCTTTGGTCCAATGTCACTGGCTTGACTGTGTGAGTACATTACTGATGAGATAAATAACACTGGGTTAGGACCTGTCTTCAGGACAGTCGGGAATAGTACATGGACACTTTAAGACGAGAGTTACAATAAGCGAAAGCACACATGCTTCTTTTTTTTTTTCCCCCTCATATACAGACTGCTTTATATTAAAAAGTGCATTGTAACGATATACATTGAGTTGTTTAAAAAGTAGTATATTCTCTGTGTGTGATGCTGTTATGAAATGGTAGTGGTAAGGCAGAAGTCTGTTTTTAACGGCAGCACCAGAGATGGCGAGAGCCCGTTCTACCACTTCCCGGGGATTGGAACGCCGCATTCGTACCAGCCCACGAACGGATGGGGTGTACGTCGACCGATGACTCCAAATGAAACGGGCTGCTGTCTGTAGGCGCGATAAAATCCTGCAAAAGGAAGACATTTAGAGACGCATACAGTATGACCCATCTGTATTCTTCACATACGATCAATGCATCTGATCAATGCATCTGATCAGAGTTTAGGGGGCGAAAGGATCAAAGCCACAAACGTGCAGGGCGTTTACCTTGTGCTGAGGGCAGATTATTCGAGAGGTATGCCGGTCCTGTCCTTCCGTCCCTGTAGGAGTCCACAAACTGGCATTGGTCTTCTCCCTGGCCAAATGTATCGCCTATACTGTAAAAGGGCTCTGTCGAAGGGGAATCATCATTAGCATTGTTTACGATTGCACGGGGAAACGTACTGAGCATAACAGGTTTAAATGTGAGTGCAGGTGATGTCGTACGTTACCTCTGAGACCATCTCCCATGAAGATCTTGTATCGCAGAGAGTTACACAAGACCACACCCACAAACTTCCTGTACCATGTCCGCTTGACGTACTGGCTGCCCTTACAGCTGCTGTGGGCCGAGTTATACTTGAAGGTAAAGGGGATCCAGATGGGTTCTCCCCCTGAGGAGCAGAGGAGGAGACGCATCACGCAGTGGTTCGGTTTCTGTGCCACAGCCGCACGCATAACAAACTCTAGAACACCCAGTTCTTCAAAAGCAACCTTTCAATATGGCAAGATGATCTTCTTTTTTCATGCAAATGTTGTTAGGTTGCTTGTTTATTTATTTACAGCCTCTCGTATCATATCATAATGGCTTTTCATAGCTTATGTTTAGCACTTTGCCCCTGCAAAAGAATCAGGGTGAGAAGATTAGATTACACAGTTAGTTTACTTTTGTCTCGTTTTCTTTTGTTTTAATGTCCTATTGCAAATGACACTTTTATTGACAATCTGCTTCTGAATTACCAAAAACCTTTCTTTCCATTTCTGCAGTGTAATCTAATAAATCATTTCTTCTCTCAGAGCTTGTTCAGAGAGATGTTTGCCAACACAAAGTATCCTAAACAGTTATGTAGTGAAAATGGTTAAATCCTAACAGCACTCACCAGGTGGTCTTTCAATAAGAAGAGGGTCGTCTGAAAGAAAGAAAGAAAGAAAGAAAGAAAGAATGTGATCATTTCCCAAGGGAGGAAAAGCATGCAGGCACCATTGCACATTTAATGCATTTCCCTGATATTGAGAATGAAATACCCATAATGCTCAACGCCGAGTATACCTTCCAGTCGGGCTTCACTGCGACGACGGATTTATATTTGAACATCACGCATTGCATTACAACGAACTTCACCGTGACCTTCAGCCACAGCGAGGCATCTCAGAGCGTTAACTTTGCAGGTGTGTTGATAAGTGACAAACCTGATTCGGTGACATAGGTGAGCGTGTCGCTGACGGGTCCCAAACCGAACACATTCTTGGCCTGCACTTTGAAGTAGTACCTGAATAAAAAACGCACCACAGCACACAAGGATTTACACGAGAGCGAAAGTGTCATGACGGCGCCAGTGTTGTTGTGAAACGTTAATGACCGGAGCAGATGACTCTGCAGGCTTCAGTCCGGCTGATTTAAGAGAGGTCTGTTTTCTATTCGTTTAAATCCAAAGTGAGCGCGGCTCAATATAATAACTATTTGGCCCGCGTTGAAGGGAGAAGGAGGGAAAGGCGCTGAGGGGAGGAAAAGACGAGATTAACAGACAATAAAAACGTAAAGGAAATTTAGATATAATTGCTAATTATTCCACTGTAGCTGGCTAATGTGTAAACTGCAAGTGCGTGTTCATCATTGCTGTATCGTGCACATATGTGCTTCCTTTTACTCTGCAAGGTCTCACTAAGTTCACGTTGAGTCAATCCCTTGTAAGTAATCGCCATGGCCACGCCACAACAGTAACCAACAAATATATCATCATACGGTGCCTCGTTTTGTCTGACCAACAAAGAAGAGAATGAAATAACTCATGCAAACTGGAATTATTACAAGCGGTAATTTGTAATTCACTCAATTTATCTGTAGGAAAACTTCTTGGATCTAATTTGTCCAAATGTGAATCTACATACGTATGTCTGAGTAGAGGCCTATTGTACCTCAGCAGTTCTGGCAACCAGAAGGAGCCTCTAGGATAGGAAATGCCAACAGTGTCACATGAGCTCTGCCCGGATCCACTGGAATCACGCGAGACGCCATGAATACAAACCGGTTGCATAGGAGGTAATCCCTCTTTGCAGACTCTCGGAAAACTTTAACCGTTACACAGAGCCAGACAGTGATTGTTTTTCCAAGGCCCACTCTTATCATAACACTGCAAATGTTTGCCTCCGCTGGGTGAGAGGATACCCCTATCTGATTCTACCTGATTCCCTGAACTCACACATTTAAAACAGTTTTTCCACCAGATGTTTGTGTGACAGCTTGCAATTTATAACGTGTCTCATGCACTGACTGAATCATAATTAAACCGACATGTGGTCCCTGTAGTCCCACGTGCCATTCATCCAACAGTACATTGCAAAAACATGCATTGTTTCAAACAAAGCAAGAATTTAGATGTTTGGGGTAAAAACTCTCCCTTCTTCTCAGTGCAAACGGCCAATCACCTGCAGGCGAGGCAGCAACCTCATTATGAAGATTACATCTGTCAACAAAGCCCACCGCCGTTGGCATGGTTGGCTTTTTCTATGAGTGAGACTATATGACACAATGATAGAAACACACAGCAGGTGGGGTTTTCTATTACCTAGAGTTTGGTTTGAGATTCTCCAAAGGCAGGTGGCTCCCGCTGGAGGGTTTAGTGGACCATCTATTGTTGAGCACATCGTCATATGAAGCGCTGTGGACCATGTATCCTGCAGGGGCACAATGAAGACTCAATGGGCAGTAGGTGATAACAGACGATAAGTTAGGAAGACATTCTTTACATCAATGTAACATTTTAATTTGAAACTAATACCCTCGGTATACAACATTTATGTTAGGATTTCAATAATTCTGTGATTTTGTGCTGACTGTCGTCACATTACATGTCATTTAGTTGACGCTTTTTTCCAAAGCGACTTACCATAAGTGCATTTCAACCATAAAGATACAAACTAAAAAAAAAAAAGTGTAAATTCTTTAAATAAGTCATCCAGCCTGCCGGTGTGCTTTCTTCTTCTCAGACTAATCCTTAGAATCCGGTTAGCAACCTCAGGTCACGCAGCTCTCAGTCACTCACTGTTAAACTATGGGGAACAGCTCTGCCGCACATCAAACAAAAACTATCCCTCTGTGACTTTACAGTCTAAATGTCTGTTTTTACTGGAGCCACACCAACGCGGCTGACAGAATAAAAGGGAAATACTTGCTGCTTTGTTTTTCTTCTTTCCCCATTCTATGTTATTAAACTGGGGTTTGATAGAGTAGTATGTAGACTCTTTCTCTGCGTTAGGCGTTTTCAAAAGAGTTTTTATAGTTAAGAATAGTAAATCTCCCCCAAAACCTTTGAGGAAAAAGTCTTAAATGCATGCAAGTTAATGGAACCACTAGTTGGGTGTCAATGACCGTCATCTCTTGAGTCCACTTACACTTGTTTTAAAAGCTGTGACAAATGACCCGTCTGACGCGTCTCTGCAAACACGCCCTAATAACTACATGCAGATACAATCCCAAATTGTGATGAGGGGGGAAAAGTGCCAAAAGGCTTGTGCCAACTTGCAGTGTGTGCAAGCAGAGAGGAAACACCAGGGGCAGCAGATGGAAAGAGAGCGGGAGAAGAAAACAACAGCGATGGAAAAGTCTCTCTGTTTTAGACATCTGCGGACGGACCGGCCCTCCGCATGACCAGGAGCTGGTGTTTTCCTGCCAAAGAAAACCTCGTGCCTCTCTCGCTGGCCAAGCCGCTACCTTTGATAGTCCACCACGTCTCATACAGAGTGCTGTGATCTCCCTTCTCTGCTCTGTCACACAACCGCCGACCCACCGGCAAAATAATTTGGATTCTCTCCAATGAACTCCGCAGGAGTTTAACGCTGCCTTTTCTGGATTCATTCTCAATGAACAGGAGTACGGTCAGAAACTCTGACTGGGAGATGATAACACGTTAAAGGCATATCCCAAAACACAACGGATGAAAGGTTGATGAGATGAGTACCTGACACCATGTCGTCCCTCAGCGGGCGACCCCAGTCCAGGATGATGAAGGAGTGGCAGCCCTCCATGGCGACCACGGTGAGGTTATGAGGCTTGTGTTTGGGAGGCTGGTTCTGATTGATTGCAAGGCTGTCCTTCTCCATCAGGTTCTCCAAGACGTCCACCTGAAGATACTCCAGAGCCTCCGTCAAGGAGCAAGGAGACGCTGGGTCCTTCTGGATGTAGTTCATATAGGGAGCTGATGGCCAGAGAAATGAGATGGAAAGTGATCCAGTTTGACTCGTGTCAGCAATTAATCATTGATAAGAATATTTAAAAAAGCATTCATCTCAATGGGCGCAAACCTGTACCAGAATTTAAAAGATGATACTTTTCTAGCTCATACTATTTTTGAAACAGCCTAATTTTGAGGTTTGTTTGTAGTTATTTTTCTTCTTTTTTCTGGGAAGGCTGAACATACTTTGACTCTCTATACTTTGACTCTCTCTCTATTCCTAGTGAGACAGCGGTTTGAAGGGACCCACTGGAGTCTGACCTTCCAAGATGATTTTCCCTCTGCACATACAAAGAGTCTAACACATGTCAGTAGCTTGTCTACACGTCAACACACCTTCTTTTCGGGCTGTATGGGTTCAGGCGTTTACAAGCTCCTACCGTGTGTGTGTGTGTTACGCAATCAAATGGCTCATGTATTTTGCACTGATACACCGAAATATGTCTCTCTACACACAGGGTGCTTGTCGGGCCGCGGTACTGAACGGCATCCACATGTCCGGGATCATTGCAGGCTCATGCAAAGAGAAGATCCAGATGTTTTTCTCTGTTTGTCTGTCCTCCTGTCTGTCTTATTCTGCTTGAGGAAAAGCCAAACGCAAAACACCCAGACAAATACAGTTGTGTGAGCCAGATGGATCAGATGACAATGGGAAACAGTTTCTGTACAGTTCACAACATGTCAACTGTAATATCAGTCCAATGAGGCATTAGTTATCATTCTAATAGTCCAAACATCCCGGCCCTAATTTTTCAAATTCACTGCGGCTATGTTTGCACATCTGTATCCAACTAACAGATTCATGCAACTGCTTTTATTATCTCCGGCAGGAGAATCATGTGAGTAAGTGAATTGAGCCTAAACTATATCAAAATAAATATGAAAGAGGGTACATACTATTTAACTGCTGGTATTTGTCTGTATATGTACTATCAAAGCATGTGGTCACAGTATCTCCACAATTGTTGTTTCAGCTGTGGAAATAACAATAGTGGAGACAGTGTGAAGTAAAAGGCATAAAAACCACTATTGAACGACCTCTGACCTTATGTCGTATTTTAAAGGCTGGAGCTAAGCAGATGCAGCATTTATAACTGTCTTGAGAATATTGCACACTGTTTGTGCAACCAGATGAAGTGAGAGGCCAAAGCAAGCAAGTGGGACGAAAGCAGGGGGCTGAAGTTTACTGAGATCACTTCTGGAGAGCCTGAGCCGTTTGCCCTCAATGAACTGTGTTATTGTGATCCAATCGCAGATGGATGGAACCGATTTGAATCAACCATTAGAGATACAACTATTGCATTTTGCTATTTTTACATATGGATGTACAGTATATTTCACTAATTGATTGCTTGACTGTAGCTGCAATAATCTACGTTATGATATGGATGAAGAAATAATAGCTTATAGATTTTTGCTCACAAAGCCAAGTTAGAGGTCCGAATGTATTACAAGCCAACAAAACAAAACAGAACTGCCTACCATTATTTACAGCACACATTCATCACACACATACACACACTCACAAATAGGGACAAAAAACAACCGCGTAATACTCAGAAGCCAAGCATACATTGTCAATCATGCTCCCACTCTTGCTTAGTAAGAGACGTATGCTATTAGTTACTATTAGATATTAGTGCACTGTATGTTAAAGATAATTTGTCTCTAAACTAATTTGCACACATAAAAAATGATAAAACTAAAATTGTAACATGCAAATTTTCCTCAAAGCTAATTTTGGTCCTTGAGAAGAAGATTTTTTTAACACATTTAAAACAGTATGACTTACTATTTCTATCTGAGGGGGGCTGTCGTAAAAGAAATAGAAATGTGATGTTAAATCTGGAATGTAAGGCCCTGGAAGATTTAGTGTGTGCACAGAAACAGAGAAAGAAAGGAGAGGGAGTAAATATAACCGTGCATATTGTTGTTGGATAACACAAAGTGCATTTCAGTCTTTGAGTACCTGTGAATCGCTTCTTCCCACTGAGGTCGAGCTCGGATGAGGGGCCGTGGTTGGATGTTCTGGTGTCTGGCTCTGGAGTCGGGATCTCTGTCGTGGTGGTTGTGGGTTGCATGGTGGTCTGGACAAAGAGCTCATCTAGCAACAACACATGTGTCAGTGAGCATGGATTGAAATAGATGTTTGGTGTTTGCACCCAAATTCTAAAGCATGCTGATGTGTTTCATTAATCCTTCGCAATTGGCACCATGATCTGTGGAATAAGAGTTTCAAATAGATTTCATTAATTGTGGGTAGATGGGTGAGCTCACTTTGAAATACCCCCCCCCCCCCCGAACACCCACAGCTGTATTCTTATGTAATGATTGGCTACCCATATTTTCCATATGAGGGGGGCTTGAAGACAACGGTCATTTGACAAGTGCCAAGTGCACGGCTGACAAATGGGGGGAATCCTATTAGTTCCTTCTACTAGTTGTTTTCTCCCCCTGTGCCGCGTTAGTGGCCCTTGGCGTGACAGCATGGTCTGCACACATGCTACCAGCTTTGAGCCATGGCAGGGAAATAGTAAGAAAACATTTTAATGCTCAATATGTCAAGCGAAAACCCCCAAAATAAGGCAAATATCAAACGCGGCTCGCGTGCAACATAATCCTTGATAGATACGAACCCACAAAGTGGAATGACAACAACGGCTCACATCAATCAAATGCTGCAGCTTTTCACTCAGCTGGTGTTCAGTTGAGGCTTAAGTTCATCTATCACATTTCAACACCAGCGAAGACATTGCATTCAGTCATTAGCGAGGGCATTCTCGGTAATGCAGTTCACATCGTCATGATTTTGGAAACGGCAAAATAGCCACAACCTCAGCCATGGACCGAGGTCAGGCCGGACAAAGGAACAAGAGGAGAAACTAGGACCGCAGGCAAGAGACCAGATAAGCTAGCAAACACATCATCAGAACAAACAAACAGCGCAGTCAACAGTCAACAAACAATAAGCATTTAGTGTAGTTAAGACCATTAGAAATAGTTCCAAAGCCAAACTCAGCCAATACCTTTCTTAAGCTCTAAAGCATCAGGCACTGTGTTCACTGTAACCATGATGTCCATTTCCATTCCTGAGGATTCCTCTGTCAGAAAAGTAGAAGAAGCTGTAGTATCAATCTCACATGACGATGTTCACATTTCTGAGCTTGCATTCACACTTTGACATGTACACCCACCTTTCGTACCAGCACTAATACACACGCTGATTCTTTTGAAACACTGGGAAGATTTCAGTGAATTTAATTGTGTCATGAGGTTTTAAGAGAAAAAATTGTAATTGTTGTAAAAGTGTTGTAAGAAAATGCACCTGCTTTCTTTGCTTTAGACTTTAGACAGCTGTAGCTGTTGTCTCGGTATGTTTTCATGGCAATTTATTATGAAAGGTATTTGCAGCATAATGAGCTTTCCCCCCCAGATTTGATCAGTTATTAAACAACAATGGCCTGAAGATCCAAATCATCATTACTTTTACAGTTACAGATTTTTAGAAATCTGTTCATTGCTTGCCAGGTTTTATTTTTGCGTTTTGGTGAATAGCAAATCTAGAATTCTGATCCTCTACTCTTGGTTTGGATCAATTATTTAAATTTTGTCTGCAATGTTTACTTTAATACTTCAAATAACCATGGTGTGTGTGTCTTCATGCATGTGTTTTTACTATATTTCATTTACTGTCTTTGAACAATGACCTACATGGCAATGCACAAGTGACAGCTCTTCTTGTGTTTAAACATGCAATACTCTGACCACATTGAGGCACCAGATGTGGAGACTTGCATGTGGTTTCTGTGGTCTCAAATCTACACACAGACACACATACGCACACACACACACACACACACACACACACACACACACACACACACACTCAGCAAATCACAGTTAAAGCACACACAGTTGTAAAGTCATAGGACTCATATAGGAAACACTAATGGCCTTGGCCAGAGCAATTTGGTGAAGTGACTATTCTCTAAAATGATTCACGTTCCCCTTAACTTCAGTTATGAGGAAAGTCTATTTACTAAATTGGGCCACAGCAGTGTTTTGTTACATTAATGTAGCATAACTATCTTTGTAGATGAATCTTTTATACAAGTGCATTGTGATGAATTTCAGTTACTTCTGCCCATCTCATAGTCTCACCTTCTGGATAACAGTCCAATATTCCTTCCATGTCAAGCAGTGGATACCCATATTCATCTGTTTTGGAGAAGGTTCCAGGTGGACAGGTTGGGAACGGTGGGGCAGTGGTAGACTCCTCCCCGATCCAGCCAGTGGTGGTGGGTTCAGGTGTGGTGGTAGGAGCTGTGGTGGTGGTGGTGGTGGTAGGAGCTGTAGTGGTGGTGGTGGTGGTCCTGAGGCGAGGACGGTCCAAGCCAACTACCGGTTTCCCCCCCAACATGAGGACCTTGTCTTTGGGATTGACCACCGGCCGGCCGTCTCGGCCGTGGCCAAACAGAGCCATACCTTCCTGGTTTAACAGAGGACTGCCCATGTCGTCTGGTGGGAGGTGGAGTGGAGGAGCAGAAACATGACGTGTCATATTATCAAGCTGTATACTGTTTGTTTGAATGTCATGCAATGCAGACAGAAGCAAATCACCAAAAATCGTGCGTCCGTCTGCTCCGAGCACGACTCTCTTGGGCCGGCCCTGGGAGTCCTGGAGAACTTGTCCATCCTGGTTCATAAGAACCCCCTTCTCCAAGTCTACTATCTGTTAAGAAAAAACATGTTTCGCCAAATCTAAAAACCACTTAAAATAGATCAAACTAATCTTTTGGAGATAATTTCTCCAGGACGGGAGAAAAAATGCACGAATAATATGCTTCACAATGCAATATTGCATGTACTGTTACAATCACTAAACCATTACATATAGCGTAGTTACCCAGTTGGTTCCATCAGGTCCTGTGATAAATTTTTGACCAACGGCCTTGCTGGTTTCCCGAGCGGAGGAGGAATCCTTATCACTCGTTGCTGTCAGGTTTGGTCGTCCATTTTTACCTTTAACAATAACACGATCCAAGAAAAATGATGTTTCCTTGCTAAATAATCAACTGATGACTGTATTCTAACATCAATGAATAGCTCATCAGTTAAGCAGAACCTTGCCCCTTTTGAGTAATACAGTAGCCGGTTGTAGTACTGGCAGCAACTTTGCATCACATACACTTTACTTTACCGTTTCCATTTGTAGGTTTGAGTTTCCCTCCATTGGTGGGTTTCCCTCTGACCATGGGATAGCGAGGCCGACCTCCCTGCCCCCTAGATGATGATGAAGATGCTGAGGATGACGATGTGGACTGGGAGTTTCCTCCAATTATTCCCCCTGCCTTTGACACAGTAGTACCGCTACCAACGTCACGACCCGATGTCAAAACTACTTGGGGCAGATTTGAGGAAGAGGAGTCAGACGATGACGAGGAGGACCCGGACGTTGAAGAGTTTTGTGCTGGTTTTGGTCTGATGGGAAGTCGAGCGCCACCAAACTGCCGGTTCCCCCCCACGCCAGGACGACGATAAGAGTGAGTGCCTCCAGATGGTAATTCAGGTCTTTTCCTGGAGAAGGTTTCTCTTGTCTCCACACCGTCATTGTCCTCCACACGTATCTTAGGGTCAACTGAAGTTATAGCAACTTCATCATATTTGCCGCCCTTTTCCCCACCCAGGTAATCCTTATTATGATCATTATTGTTATCACTATTAGAGGTTTCTTGAGGGACTGGCTCATTTGAGGCTGTGTGTCTACCTGAGGAATGATGTGGATCAGAGTTTGAAGAAGTTGCTGAAAAAGAGGAAGATGATGACGAGGATGAGGTAGTTGGATTTTTAGCATCACTAGAGGCCGTATTTTTATTGGTCAACGAAGGCTTAACCAAACCCACGCCCGCCACATTCTTTAGTGAATCGGCCGTTCGTAGATCGTCACTAGTTTCCTGCATCGTGGACACTCCTGCAGCACCTGCTGCCGCTGACGCCGCACCAGTTGTCGCCCTCAAGGCGGATCTACCAGCCGCGGCGGAGGACGACGTCCCGTTCACGGAGGTCCTGCCGGCCAGCCTGCGCGTCGAAGCTCTCGTCCCCGAACCAAACCTGCCAGGATAACGGCTGGCCAGCCAAGGGAACCTCGCAGCAAACGCTGGGCTAATGCCTGTACGAGAAACCACAGGCTTCTCACTACGACCCTCCTCCTTCGCCTCCTCCTGCCCTCTCTCCTCCTTCGCGGTTTGTGAGGAGCTTGAAGTAGGCTCTTCCTTTTTGGTCGCTTCTGCGCCTGCGCCTTTGTCGTTGCTGTCGTCGCTTCCCGCCCCGTTGGTTGTGTCTCGCTCGGGCGGCGTCCTGTCCTGTAGGGCGGGCCGTGACGCTGCAGCGCTCCGCGCGTTTGAAGTCGCCCGGTTTGAACTTCCGCTCGGTAAATTCAACTGTGAGGTAACGGCAGGTTTGTAACCGTTCGGCAATCGAGTTGAATTCCCCCGAAACACATTGCCGGGATGTTTTCGACTGTAGCCGTATCTGGAGCCGGACCCCTTCGTGCGATCCGCCGAAACCGAACCCCGTCCAACAGACGCAGCCTCTGTCTCCTGTGGATTGCTGTCTTTTACAAGTCTGGAGGAGGGTTTAGTCTGTGTTGTGCTTTGTTTGTCATACGTGTCTTTAGTCTCTGGGTGCGTCAAAGCCACATAATCCTTTCTACTTGCGGCCGACTCTTGAATTTGTGGGGCGGGAGTGGAGGACACGGAGGAATCAAGAGAAGAGGCAGAAGCGGGGGAGGTGGGGGAAGATGAGGAGGAAAAAGACGAAGAAGAGGGAGCAGCTTTGGATCCTGTTTTTTTGTGGACCCGGATCTTAATGGGTCTCCTGGGAGGAGGTTTGGGATGTGATATAATTGGGGAGCGCGTCAAAACTTTGAGGCTGGGAGTTTCAGTAGTCTGAGGCACTCCGTCTTCAAATTCAGGGGAAACATCGTTATCCGGCTCTTTTTTCTCCAGTACGACCTCCGCGGTCGTCGTCTCTTCCACCGGAGATGCCGTTGTGAATATTTTCTTTTCTTCTTCGTCCTCGTCTTCTCTCCCTTGAGCTCTCCCTCTGGACGACCCTCTGTTCACTGTGTTCCTGACTGATCCCCTCACCGAGGAGAAGACGTTGTGGTAGGAGCGCGACTGGGAAAGTGGGCGCACGCGCCTGACGGCCGGCGCGGCGGAGCGAGGCCGAGGGGGCTGCTGAGTGGTCGGTTCTTCCGTCGCCTTTGCCGACTGAGTGTCCGATTCATCGTGGTCGGTGTCCTGTTCGGAAGGGGTGTGGACAGTCCTCCCGACGTCCTTGGATTTTGAGAACGTCGAGGCAGCGCTGCCGGCTGGCAGGTTGACAAACATTTTGGAAAATGTAGGATTAGTCAAAGTTTGGAGGTACACATGCCGATACTGATCATAGTAAAATGTGCTTACATCCCGGCATGACGACGCTGAGGACTTTGCTCTGCGGGCCCTGGCCCCTCCTGTTGGTGGCTCTTATCTTGAAGATGTACCGTTCTCCCGGCGTGAGACCATCCAAGGTGGCTGTGCTGCTGCTGCCGCGGTGCGTCACACTTTTCATTCCAAATGGCTTCATAGCAGGGGCATAAGACAGGATGTACTCTGCGTGTAGGTAGAGCATAAAGAACTGTTGTTGAAGAGAAGTAATGGGACCAATCAGGAGAAAACTTCAAAAGTGTAAAGAAAAAAAATCGAATAAACGCGGAGGAAAGATTTATACTATTTTCACTATATTAATTTATTATGCCCGGCCGGACCTCGTATCCTCCCATTGGGTTCTTCAGGTGGGTCCCATGTTGCTATGACAGCAGTTCCTTTCCCTCTTAGTGGCTTGACCTCAAAGTTCTCCGGTGGCCCAGATGGTGCTGTCGATGAGGAAAAGAAGACAAGTGAATGTCAAGCCAGTATCCAGAGGAGGAGCAGGACAGAAACCAGAAGCATAATCTAGAGAACACTTTGAGGAAATTGCCGCTTGAGGAATCTCAAAAAAGTGAGTTTGTGCCAGGAGGCTTCAAAAAGGAGAAGTAAAGTTGCCATATGTTGTCAGGAACCTTTCTTTGGAATTATGAATGGAAACTGCAGATTGATATCCAAGCTGTTAGCCAGGCAGTAAATGCTGGCGTGCCAGTGAACCGCAGCAGGGTCTCCTGTCACAAGGTTTAAAAGCTGAAATCTTCACAAAGCTGCAGCCAAAAATGGAATCGAGCATCAAATAGGCATTTAACACGATAAAGTCTGATATTGAGGAAGTAAGTTATGCGAAAACATAGATTTGCTTATATTCTACGGAAAATTCTGGGCTGTAGCTCCATGTAACCTTTACTCTTGGCTCACAACTCATCGCTTTTCCTAAACTGAGCTACAAAATAATCTTGTGGCAGTGGCTGCATGTGCATACCTGACTCGGGGGTCCTTTGAAAGACGGAGACGCTCCACTTTCCATGGTTTTCTCTCTGAGAGATTCTGACCGAGAACTCGTACATGCCGTCAGCAGACAGTGTGTCTATCATCATCCTCCTTTGGGTGCTGTCTTTGTACTCCCACCGTGCTGACTCGCCCTTCTCCCGGTACCTAACTGTGTAGGATCTGGGTTGAAATGAAAAAGGGGATGTTTTTACTCCAGGGGAAGTTCGAGTGGGTCTCTCTGCCTCCATCTTTTTTATGAATTCACTTTATTTCCCACGCGTGCTCCCACCTGATGTCCTCGGGGCCGACCTTTCCCATCTCAACAGCGGGGTCAACCCAGGAGATGAGGACTGACTGAGGAGACATGACCCTGACACTGATGTCCCGGGCCTCGTACTCAGGTGGCTCTGGCATACACACATACATATATTTGGTTACGCAACAGATTGGTAAGTGAGGGGTGATTCTCTGTACACCTCCAGGTACCTGATGCGGTTGTTTTGGTTGCGGCTGCTCTGTTGGCGGGTGCGCTCTGGCCCAGGGCTTTCTGTGCCTGCAGTGACACCACATGAACGGACTCAGACGCTATGAATAGAAAGGGATACCAGGCACGGCGGGGGTTTACACTGTGCACACTAAAGAGTAATACATTTAGCGCATTCTTACAGAGAATTCAAAACATCTGCAAAATGTATTTTGGAATCTGCCAGTCTTTTTCAGGCTCATGTTTGACTCGATCTGGCGGTGAATGTTGCAGAGTGTGAGTCCTCTTACTTAGTCTCTTTGTGTTTCGGTTTCTCTGGTCAGATTGGGGCTTGGTGTGGTGTTGCCTTCTCCTTTCCAGCGGGGGAGCTCCTGGTAGAGCTCTCTCGGGCTGCCTGGGACCCGAGGAGGACTGAGGGGCGCGCCTGTGTGTCCTTCGGGTATTGGACCCGCCCAATGCCTGGGCTGTTCTGTTCACCCTGGTGGACCGCTGTACTGAAGCCGGACTTCTGGAAGCAGTTTGTGGAGACCTGGCTTGACCTGCGGGTGGATGATGTTTGAGGGCAAAGGTCAGAGTCCACCTCAGCTCCGTGTCCCTGTAGTTCAATCATAATTTGTGCTCCGCGGTTGATCTGTCTTTAGAGTCTGGTTGAAACTAACAGACACCCTTGAACATAATTGCTCCAATGAAGACAAATCTTAATTACGTATGACTTTAGCCAACAGTGTCAGTTTACATATAGAAAGTTACCACACAAAAGATTTGTTCAATGTTATCTGTCATCTCCTCCGGGTTCCAAGACATCCTGCTTGAATTCCAGCCTAATAGTGACTCCATGTTGAATACTGACTCAGACATCCAGACAATCCCCCTCATGTGGCTGCAGTGTTGAGCGATAGCATTGGCGTAACTCAAAAAAAATCTCTTCTCTCTTTCCTCCCTCCATCCCGCATCCATATGCTTCTCACAATCACTGTCAGAGGAAACATGTCTGCCCAGTTTTCTATGAGGAAAGCTGCATGCACAGCTGGGTTAGTGCTCATGTTAGAAAGTGGATTTGACCAAATTCAGGGTGGTTATTAGGGGTGGAAAAAACGGTTTGAACAGGTAAGGTGGGCCAACGGAGGCTACCACACCCAAAGCGTGGTTCGTTAGTCGTGGCTTAATAGGGTAGAGAGGGTGTTGCATGTTGCATTAAAAACAATTCCGTCCAAGATGTTCCTTCACCTGTGAAAAGTGTCATGGATAACCTGTCTCGTCTGTTACAGCGAATAATCACTTAGACTGTTGTTTACTTTGTTGTTTTTACTGCTGTATTGAATTTACTACAAATCATATAGCCTACTTACTACTTACTTTAGTTTTTATTATTCATCTTATGGAACTTATCTCTTAGACTTAAATTGGTGGACTGTCATTTATTTCCACCCATTTTAAAATTACCTAGAAATAAGTCTAGGAACTCAAGATTCAGGGTATTGAAATTTGCCAACTGTGAGTTAATTTGATCATCAGTCAAGGACATTTTTGACTGCTACTGAGGCAACACTATAAAGAATAACAATAATATGGGCCAATCCTTTCTCTCATACCTACTGGACCGACTCTCGTCGTACTATCTGACTTAAGAAAGAAACCATTTGGTTTTAATCAACCTAACCCTCCCTTTCCCTCTTTTCCTCTTCCTCATTCTGGCTTTCTGGAAATCTGTCCCGGTACATAGTTTGGCCCCGCTGCCGCAGACCACTAAACCATTGACTCAACAACGCTCGCACTTGCCAAATCCTGTCCTTCTTTTCCTGGAAGCTCGATGGTCGGAGGTTCTGTGAGGCTGGCCTCCAGACAGACAGACACACCACTGCTGCTGCAGTGGACAGCCACCTCAGTGTGTTCAGACAGAAGAATGTGAGCTCAACGCTGAAGAAAGAATGGCTACTCCTACTATAAAAAAAAAAACTCTATTTGGTAACTGGACTACTTTGCTTGCCTATGTATCTGTCGGGTGGCAATGAGTAAAATTGTCTTATAACGGCTGATTATGTTTAGTATTTATAGAAAATGTGATTTTTCTACAAAAAATCTTATGGTTGCTCATTTAAAAATGTCATAATCAAGGTTGCAGCGTGACTTTTGCAAGTAAATAACAAATGAAAATAGGAGGGACTTGAAGTCTGAGGCCACATCTCATCGGTATCAGTCTGTCTCTGTGTAGCTAATCGGATTGTGCACTTGACTGGTCTTGATTTACCAGGAGACCTGATGGAAATGAATAGGCTAGTTTCCACATCCAGAAAAAACAGCAGAAACTATTGCAGGATGGATAATAAATAACATCAGTATCAGTTTGCAAACAAAGTAAGTGTCAAACTTAAAAAAAAAATTATAATATGTATATAATAGTGTTACTACTTATTTAATGTAAGTTCTGCACTACCTACTTATACAATATATGAAACAGCTGAAGGAAACTACTCTTCCCACTATTTTTTTCATACATACAGTATACATTAGCTAGTATGATGACGCCAAGGCAAGTGCTGTGGAGAGACTTGACCATGCGGAAATAAACAGATAATTTCTGAATTCAAATTCAAGAATGTTTTTTTGTGTGTTTGTATGAGATGACTAAAAGGCTTAAATAGAAGTAAATACAGCTGTAAAAAAGTATTGATTATTTTTTAATTCAGTCTAAATAAAAAAGAGAATGCCCATTATCAGTTCACAGAGCCCAAAGGTCAAAACGCATTAAATATACAAGGATTTAAAGGGTACATTTTTTTTCCATAATTGAAAACTATTTTCTTTTATTGTTTGATTAATTCAATTAATTGAAATTCATGTCAACATACCATAGGACAAAACGAGTGAGCTCCAAGAAATTTCATAGAGAATAATTATTCCATTAGATGCGGCGGTTCCTCTTATATCCATGATGGATGGGACACACCACTACCATGTCATGTTTTTAAAGATGCCGTAATATCAAGGTTACCTGCTGATGAGTTCCTGACCGGTGCGCCGCCCAACACAGCAAAGCCATCCAGGTTAACCCATTCAGGGTCTGAAAAACGAAACAATGACAGGTTAAATGGTGTCGCCAATGGAAACTTGGTAAGCCGACCGTGCAGTATACACATTTAATGAAAGTGAAAGTGAAAATGTCATTCTTCTTTCTTGTGGTCAACTAATACGTTTTTTACGCCTTAGTGAGAAGAGTTGTCCCCCAATCACTCCCCGATAAATTTTGTCTCTGTCACATTAATCATATGGAGGCTAAACAGCATGGTGTAACTTATGACCACCGATGCGGCCCTCGTGCTGCTGAGGTAACAACACTCCATCTGCGAGGAATTTGCAGCGCTGAGACTCGGTCGCAAGGGAGTTATGGCAAACCACCGGAGACGGAGAGACCACAAGGCCGCTGCAGCACACACTTGACGACACACTCACACACACACACAGACTCTCAAATGAACACTATTTGAACGCACAGACACACCATACAGGACAATGCACGAGTCAACGCTTGGATCCACCCAATCCTCCACCACAATCACCACCAAACCTACACATGTCAAACACACAGCAAGTCACCACAACAGAGGCCGCTGAGTTAAAGACGCCGGGCCGGGATTGGATGTGGAAAAGAAGGGTTGGCTGCAGACCGCTCTGCGCTGCTGATGAAGTATGCCTCTAAGATGCCAAGGACAGAGGAAAGCGGAATAATGACAAAAGCAGGCTAAAGTGTGTCAACGCTGCAGCCTGCACGAAGAGACTTGACTTGTGTTTTACAAGGCAGGATTAGGAATGAAGGAGCTGTTAGGACCTTAAAAATAACGTTCGTTCTTAGCTTAAAATAACTGCCGTCTGCGGAGGCGGACTGATGCTCGCCGCCAACCCCGAGTTCTCCTTCTCTCTGTCTGGCGGAGTTGGATGACATCACATCCAATGATGGAGCAATCCTCCAATAAAAAAATCCATGGTACGTGCATGCAGGTACGTACTCATTACCGCTGCACACAGACCTCCTCTTGGCCCTTTGTCTTGAGAAAGTGCAGAGCTCAGGGATCTGAACAATTACTGCCACGTTTAGGCCAAACTTAATTTCCTTTGCTCTCCATGCATTTGTTTTCCTCTTAATGACTTCTTTTGGTCTTTAGCAGTGCGACGTCGGGTCGCTTAGAAACATACTCATCAGCTCCCGCTTGATTTGTTCGCGTCACACCATCTGAAGCCCCGTCCGAGCTTTGCCTCTCGTCAATTTTCTAACGTTCTCTGTGTTTCTGCCTTACCTACATCCTCCAGTACGTGCGAGCGACTGTCCTTTCCTTTGGTGAGGCGGTGAGACCTCGTGGGTTTGTTGGAGCTGATGACAAAGCGATCCACAGGTCTTCCATCTAGATGAATTGAAGGCTCCCAGCTCTCCCTCGGGCCCTTATCCACAAATGTCTGTTTCCCATTTTGTGACCGCAGGGACTTCTCTGCTGAAAAACAAATGAGTATTTTCTTCATTCCTTATCGTAAAGGCTGGCTGCCCAACCCATTGTAGCACTGCATGGTTTTATGTCCAAGCTCTTCTTTATTGCCAGCAGTACAATTTCCTCTGTATTTATTACTGTTTCCATCCAAAGAAACTTTGATTCTGATTAAAAATACATTTATATGTAAAGCGGCCATGAAAAGTAGAAACTATTTTGGCAGTTTATTAAATGTATGAGAACTTTTTTGGATGGCTGAAAGCTCGGGACAATAGGCAATCTTTAGTTCCCCTCCTGGCTCGATTTACTTGAAACAAAACAAAGAAGACAGGAACTCCTCCGTGTTTTGGAGAGCAACTGCCTCTTTGCTTTGAGTGTCACTTTAACACAATTTCATTTTATGAATTCAGCTTGTATCAAAGAAGAAAAGCTGCTAAATGGTCCCACATGGGACTGCATACATATTGAGAAATTAAAAGCAAAAACTTGAGATTTTCAAAACAGCTGAATTAATTATTTTTTTTTATTAGTAACGGCCTCGTGCCTGAGAGCTGCGATGGACACTGAAACCTCAGCTGACGGACATTTGTAATAAAACCATAAAACTATAATGAAACATAATAAGAAAAGGGCCATCTTTCATCACTCATAGCCTGTTTCCCATAAGGACATGTATTACGTAGGAAGGGATGTGCACCTCTGTCCAGACATCACTCTTTGATTTGGCCTCTCTGGTATTTATGTTTCAAGGGCAAAGCAGATATTTCTGATTAAATCAAGACCCCTTCAAGCACAGCAAATGCACGATTCCCATCCAAGAATAAACAGTTTGGGAAGCAGTTAAGCAACTGAGCTGTATGTAGTATCATAATCTTACGGAGGGAGACTTGGTTCCAGAGCGTTGCCATGGGAAACCCAACAATAATACAACATGATGTGTGATGAAGGACAGTGTGATGAAGTAAGACAGTGGAAAGAATTAAGCACATAAAGAATCAGAACAGGGCCTGAGGTGCTTTGTTTTTTTTTTTAAATTAAAGAATGTGTGAGATAGACTCGCGCACGTGTATGTGCATGTTTGGTACAAGTAGCATATGAAGGCAAACCCTAAGGTAAGCCCTGAGGTCACAGAAATCCACAAAATACTTGTGACGCGGCACCGCAAATGTCCTCCACTTGGCAAACGCACCAACGCCCCTTTAGACTCGGAACCCCCAGTTCGCCCCCAAGGAACCCGGGATCGTTCTTTTTTCCACAAAACACCGTCAGGATCTGCTGTGAGGGTGCGAGAGTCGGAGGCGCTATGTGTTGAAAAGTAAGGCCAAATGTTGAGCTAGGACTGTCCTTTCTGTAATTCTTAAAAAAATAAAAGCCCAAAAAAACCCCGGGCCACCCCGGGGGGGGGGGGGGGGGGCCTTAGTGTCAGAGCTTCCCAGGAGCTATAGAATTCTTTGTAGCACCTCTGTCAACCTCCCTGTGACCTCCGACCTTCAATATACTCTCGCCAGTAATAAATATGACCATAAACCCGACATCATGCCCACAGGCACAGTCATTCACCAGAACGACAAACTAGATACAGACATTTTTAGATTGGAAGTTAAGCCTTAATTATAAGGGAAGTTTGAGTGAGGACATATTTAATTTTAAGCAACAATGGAGCCGTGGAAGGATTACACGTGCACAAAGATGACATCACCTGTGACTTTTACCATATGGAGCCAAACACAACAAAAACAGTCTAAAAACACGCCTTGCATTGCAGTGTTGGTGGTCCAAAAACTTCAACCAAGAGACTTTCTATTCAAATGTCCCGTCACTAATGAAGGCCGACATCTGCGGTTGGTTTATGCTACATCTTCCTGCGAAACCTTTGCTGACGTCTACTGTGCTGTGACAGGTGTGCACGTGGCCCAGGCGGTACTTGTTTAAACAACTGGAACCGTATGACATCATGACCCGACGCACGCCATCGCTGGCAGGTTTGACGGGCAGGCAGGTTGCAGGTGTGTGGGGGGTACGGGGTCGGGCCACGTCAGGGGATCAAACATACCCAGTATTGTGGGAAATAAGAGGAATATCTTAGCAGTGTTTTTCTATCAAGTTGCAAAGTTGCTGATCCTAAACATTGTCTGTCAGATCTGTCACCGGGAGCTCTTGCATTCCATCATGTTAAGTGGAGCAGAGAAATGCATTTCGACTGGCCTGCAAAGACATGATTCCCTCTTTTCCCCTCAGTCTCTTTCCAAATGACTCGCTGCACTCAGGAGTTGATGGACTGTGGCCGCATGGAAGAAGTGACATTATTTATTAGCCAAATGAAGTCTCTTTCTGTTCCTTCTTTGCACTGCTCCCGCCGAGGTGCCCAACTTCACCCGCTTTTGTAAAGAATTCTAGACCGACGAGCTGATGACGTGTGAGTGGAGAAAGTTAATGAGGAACACTCACCTCACCCTTAACAACTACTGTCAAAACACCCGAGAGAGAGACATTTAGCAGCAGAGCTGCTCGGTCGCCTGCAGCGGGGAACTGTGTTTGTATTGAGAAGCTCCCAAAGTGAACGAATGAGAAGAAGGGTGTTGCAGAGAAAGGCGCGGGACCACTCTGAAAGTACTTCCTAAAAGACGGAAAAGAAAACGAGAGGAAAAGATAACAAATAGCAGCTGCCGGTGTTCAGAGAAGGCAATGCTCTCATGCAGGAGAGCACAGTTAACAAGGAGGCATGAACTTACAGGTCAATGGATAATGTGTTGGTACATTGAAGGAAAAGGAGAGAAGAGATCTATATAAATAGTACTTAAGAAACCTAAAATACAGTAAAAGTACAGTAATTTGATGTATCCACAGGCAGAGATGGATTCCAAAAATATGATATAAAAATTAAAGTAAATGTTTTCTTTCAATCATTTTTCTCAGTAGAATTCCACCACTCTTCTCAAATGCTGGTGATATTCAAACCTTTGACAGAGGACCTGTGACAGAAAGGAGACGCCATGACACAAACACTAACCCTGCAAAAAATGGATTTTAAAGCCAATGCAGGTTATTTGTCAGCCACAGATAAGACACGAAACCCCTCAGCAGCAAAAAGAAGCCGCCTGATATTCATCACCATCTTCTAATTTTTGATCACTGCTCCTGCAGCACGTGCCCACCCCGTGCGAGGTAATTCATTAAGGACTTGTTCCATGACTGCTGTTAAGAGACCAGCTGCCCACATCATATTTTCTCCAGCAGTGAAAAACAAAGTCAAAGTTCTCATTTGCTGTCTCAGTCCAACTAACTTTTTCACTACTGTCAAAGGTAAATCACAAAACTGTTCACAGCTAAATGGAAACACTGCAACTATTTTGAAAAATTGCATTTACAGCACGCGCATGACATTTTCTTTATTTTCGTTAGTTTCTTTACCCTCAAAATAACAGCTTCATTACATTTTAATGCACTAAAACTCGCAGATTGCAGCAAAAAAAAAAGCTGGGCAGCATCAGCTGCTATGATCAATCCAACCTCTTGAGGATTTAACCACAAAAAAAGCAACAACTGAAAAACGTAATAGCGCAACACATGCACTTTTTTTTCATACAAAAGCATACAAATCTTTTTTACCTGCCCATCCGCCTGCTGGTGCGCAAAACGCAACGAATAGCGCCAAGAGCGTCCTGCTTGCGGCTAAAGCCATTTCGAGAGTGGCGCGCTGCTGCTGCTGCGCGGCGACGCACCAGCTGGATGCGGAGGGCTGGGACATTGCGGCTCCCCCCCTTCCCCCCCCCCCCACACACACACTCCCCCCTCACGATGGCTGTATGCTCACCGCCGATTTTCACTTTTTAATCGAATGGACCAAATGCCACTGATCATATTCCAAAACGTGAGCTCAAGCAGGTGGAGGGGAAGTAAAAGGCTGCGGGAAGTCAACCAATAATTCGTGCCAGAATAATTCAGATCTGATGTTTCGACTATTAAATCGCCGCTACAGTTCTCTTTTTATTGTTTACCTCAAACCATACTTTTCTGATATTATTGCGGAATGGGGGTTGGCCTTTTTTTCAATGCCAACTTTGAAGGTCTAGTTTCTTAAAACACGCAAGCAGTCTAATTGCACCTGTCCTGTTCCTGCAGACCTGACCCTCTTCAGGATCGAACATGTCCATGGCTTCACCAGGTGTTAGAACCGGATTGCACGACACGTCTAAGCTGTGTCTGCAAAATTGCATTGAGGAGGAGTCGGTCGACCGCTAGATGGAGCAGCAAGACACGTTTTTAAAGACAGTAAAGGTAAGCGTGTGATTAGAACTGGTCATATGCAGTAGGAGCAGCAAATGGGAAGTTTTAAATGAGATGTAAATGAACGAATGTGTGACTAAATGCTAAAAACAATGCATGCATAACATGGACCTTACACGTGGTATTTTGCTTCTGCTGACTAAAACATGTACGATGCTGCCAGATGTATAATTCTATAAGTTAATGATGGACATTTGCATTGGAACATCTCATTATCCACATTACTTTTCTCACGGTCACTATCGCACTAAAGTCAGAGAGGTTTTGCGCCTCACTGCAAACCATTGTAGCACTAAAGAGCTCATAATGTTTCCAATGAATTCCCTGGACTTTGCTGTAAAACATTTTTGTTATAACTGCAATCAGCAGCAAAGTGACAGAAAGGCAGTTATTAAACCAACGGGTTCATCTGTCAGAGATTCATATTGAAATATGAATGCAACATAATGAGACAAGAGAAGATTTCTTCTGTCCAACCAACAACTCCCTCTGTTGGTTAGACGCTTCATTTACACGGGGGAACGATTTCAACGGCCACTCATTCACTGCCTCTAAAGGCCGAATCTCAGGACGTCACAGAGGAAATCGGTGGCTTAAATATAGTGTTAGATTTCAACCACAACGTATCTGCTGTGTAAAAACTACTGTGGACGACTCAATCTCCACAGGCTCTTTTGTACTCGTTGCTGAGAAAAGGGGCCAGAATTGCCACACAATCAATACTTGTGTCAGTTTGCGTCTCTCGGGCCCCTGGGGGCGAATAAAGCAACTGCTGTTTGTCTTTTTTATGTTGTCTCTGCCCAAATCACAACATCATAAACTAATTACTATTGCTGATTGAGTCTCTCCAAGCCCCCCCCCTCCCCTCTCTCTCTCTCTCTCTCGCTATACTGTGTATATATAAATATATATACATATTATATGTTTAGGCGGCTCCTCAGGCATCTTGTTATATGCATGCCCGAGGGATTATTTATGTCAAGTCCCGCTGTAATTCCCCAAAAGTGAGTTGACATGATGCTTGTGACGAAATGGTCCATCTCAGCTGATTCACTGCACCGGGTTGGACTGCGTGTCGAGCTGAGTTAAATGATGTTGTGCTCCAGTTCTGTCAGCTGTCGTATCTTTTGCCGTTTGCGTGGCATGCTGTTAATCTAACCATTCCCTCTTAGGTACACATGCAGTCTCACACACTTGGTTCCGTAGTAACGGTTGTCTGTATACTGTTTTTGAAGGATTGAAGGTTAATTGCAGTGTTATTGTCCCACTTGGAGACAGCAGAATATATATTCCACGTTATCTTACTCCTCTGGAGTATCTCATACAGAGAGATAATGAGCTTTATTTTTCCGCATTAATTTTGTATATTTTCCCGGAGAGTGGAAAGAAAAAAGAAATCCATTGAACTGTCTTAGGCTGTAAATAAAAATAGAGGTTCATTAATACCAAGCTTTGGGGGGAAACACTGCTTAGGGTTCTTTAGATGAGCCCTCTGTGGCCTTCTTACACCTTCTACTGACACCGTTCTGCATTAAAACCTTAAAACTCTGATGGATGCTTTTAATGTTCTTTTGTTGAAACTGTTAAACTCTGCTGATTAAAGTATGTTGTTTAAATGTTAAATGTCCAGTTTAAAGCGGTGCTCATGTGTCCACCCTCAGGAACCAGCGTGTACAGCTTCCTCTCTGTCCGTCTTCCACTGTAACATAGAAACGAATCACAGGTAGAACACGACAACATGGCCCAGCATGCAGACCCAAGCTCACGTCACCCTGACCTTAATTCATCCATATAAAGGGGAGGGGGGCAGAAGTTGCCTAGCAACTGTAATTTGGGTCCTAAAGAAAAGATCTCCTTAAGAAACTTTTAATTCTAAGTCTTTGCAGCAAAATGTAAATGAGACGTAATTGTTTACGACAAGCTCTAGAATCGTATTACTATTTAAGCTCTGTTTTTATTTTATTTTCTGTAACCAGATTCAAATTACACTGCGTGACTTGCTGGAATAGTATATAATATATAATCATTTTTTAAATAGATCTAAATAAATCCAAGAGGCTTTTCTATCTGACCAGGCAATCTGAAGAGAATATAAAGAACATAAATCATTATTATCATTAATGACTATATTTACTCTAAATGCAAAAAACAATGCAGTGAAGTTCCCCTCAAATCACAGACCTGGACTAATCTTCTACAACCAGATCATCTACTGCCCCCACCCATGAAGCCCCCCCTCCTTCCTGCACGGCGAGCAGAGAGAAACCCAGTGGATGAAATGCGCGTCGGACGGAGCATCCGCGCAGCACGCAGCGACACGGAACGCGAACTGGAGCTTATCATCAACTCGCTGTCTCCCGTTTGATTAAAACAACAGCAACAACAACAACAACAACAACAACAACAACAACAACAACACAGTTCTCCAGTGCGGCGCAAAAAACCGATGTGAACAGACGCAGGGAGAGAAGATCACCTAAAGACGGTGTGACACAGATTGCACCAAAGCAGGTCAAGTTCTTTTTTTTTCCCGTGTGGGGTAGAAATACTCCCCTGACCTGAGGGGGACTAATGATGTCTCTAATGGTTCACCTGAAGACAGCCGGCCACCTGCGGGGGAAAGGGGACCGAATGGCCAAAGTTACATTCAGAGGTAGGACAACGTTGCTTTCCATTGGCGCTGCAGCCCGTGTTCTGTCCCCATGTGTTGTCTCTGTGTTGTCGTGATGGAGGACGAGCAACGGTCCCGCATGCGTAAAAAGTTGCGGGACCCCTCCCCTCCTGGATCGTTGGCTCTGATTCGCGTTGAAACGCGCTTCTTATGCAGGTATCCAAGCTGGACAGGTGTTAAAATATAATAATATCAGATAAAATCAGATAAACTATTTAGCCTATAGGGGATTTGAAAGGATCGACACGAAAACCAAACCAGTTTATTTCATAATTCTGATCTAAGCATTTTTGTATTCTCCCGTGTCTCTTCTTCCAATCATGTGTACGCTTACATTTTAAAAAGTACTATAGAAGCAAACTGACTTCTGACTTGACGTATGTTTACACTGCTGTGATTGATAACTAAAAATGATCCATCACGTCTATGCCAGTTTTCCCCACACCGGTCTGGATTTCTCTCATCAATTATTGAAAATCTTAATAGTCCCCCGGGAATATAGTGTCATTACATTTATTTCTCAAATGTACATATTGATTTTACCACTAAACGTACAGGGTTTATAGGGGGTTTCTATAGATGGCAATTGGCTCAAAGCAAGTGAACACCTGATCTGCTCTGCCTCTGTTCAGAGGAGACAACAGGGATCTCCGTGGGACTGGAAGGGATTTTAGAGGGAATCGTCCCTTAACATCAACCGTTTTGTCCCACTGTGATACAGAGAGCGAATTAGGAGCAGCGAGTGTATTTCAGCACCTCGGATTGATCGCTCCACTCTCTTACCAGGCGTTCAATCCAATCTCTGATCCTCCCGCTGGCAGCTTCGGTGTCGGTGGGGTGTTACGAGACCACCACCTCCTTTTGTTCCCCCGCTGCTGCGTACGTGTGTGTGATTGCGTGTGTGCACGGCGGTGTGTGGGGACGGCTTTCAGTGTTGTGCTGCAGGACGTTCCCCAGGACCTTGATATTACATGAACCGCATCATCCAAGTCAAGGATTAGGATGTCTGGCTGTTCCTCCCATGGGGAACCTGTCGGCACAGCCGCTGCAGTTCATCTGTTTTCTAAATTGTTAGTCTGCAACGATGTACGAGTGCCTTTGTACCCCATTTTCTGTCTCATCTTATTCAGGCAATGCTGTTCTGTTCAAAGTTCTGCATGAAGACACATGTGGCTTTACATTGATTTTCTGTGCACCTTTATGTCAAACGCGTACTGTATTTCAAAAGAAAAAAGCAGTAATCTCCTTTGTTAACAGTTACAATGCAAAACATGTTAGTTTTTAATAGCCGTGACAGTGCAAACCTTATACGTTGGTCTTTTTCATACTGCAAAAAGGCCGTTTAGAAAGTACAAAGTCAGGTGAGACGCAGAGCGGCCGAGATTCAACCAACAATGAACTGGCGAAATAATCTGGCGATGAGTGGAGAGAGGAGAATTTAAGCAGTGTTGACTGCCGGCAGGTGTGGGGATGCGCCAGGTGATGAAGGCCACGCCCTTTTTGCACACACATACACACGCACACAGAGAATCGAGTGAGGAGACCACAGTGGCAGAGCCGTGCATGAATCACGCTTATTTAATAAGCGTGAAACCAAACCGTCACAAACTGGCTGAAGTTACGAGGGTGAGATAATCTGACATTCTGAGGTCACAGAATCGCCATATCTGCTGGTTTTAGCCAGTTGGGAGCGGCGTAAAACAAGTTATACACACCACAATGACATTTCAACAGTTTATTCATACAATCAACAATAATCCAGCAGCAGTGTGACTCACTTGGGGTAATTGATACAAGATTGTTAGCTACTAGTGGTGAAAAGAAGATTTAACCTAAAAACATACAAAAAAACTCATGTATATAACGACAGGATTCAGATCTGGATTTTTAGTCCGTCTCTGGTCGGCCTGTTTCAACCACTTGCAAGATGAGCGAGTGAAAGCAGCAACACCAGATCAGAGCTCAGATCAATCGCTTCCTACACTGAATCCCCGCGGTGGCCACCATGTGATTAGTTTCATTAAAACAAATACTGGTTGTTTTTCCTGGTTGATGTATTACTCAGTATTTGGCTTCACGCTAGGAAAATGTGTCTTCCAGTGAAAGGATTAAAGCTGCTGTCACTAATACAGTGAAATCATTTTTATTATCCTGAAGATGAATGTGTCCTTTTCTTCTCCCTTAATCTTTGTACCTCTTTCTTCTCCCAGATGATATAATAATGGTATTATAATAATCCGTATTGATATTACGGGCCGATCCCGTATGTTGATTGACGTTGCATCACAGCGCTTCAGTCTTCTGTCCCGGGTCTTTTGAGTTGCGGTGCTTTTTGCTGGTAACCCGACAGTAGTGCTTCCTGAGTGCTTTCACCTCAAACAACTTCCTGTCTGGAGAGGACGAGGTCTGTCTTTACCCTGGCATCGCCCTGAGCATCTCAAACCACCTTTGACCCCTTGAGAGGCTGGCGGGGCGATGCAACGTGAGGCTGATTCCACGTGTGACGTTTGGATAGAAACCCAAACATCATCATCTGCCAGAAACTAGTGTCGAGTTCCCCGTTCAATAAGGCGCAGAATGGTTTATTATTATCTTTTACCGCGGGCAATGAAGTCCGCTTCAAAGACGAGGCATGTAAACTTAATTGATTTTGTGGCACGTCTTTGATGGATCCGCGCTGTTATCTGTAGCACTCACATTTATCAAAGGAGGAAACTTTGGCTCTACTTGCTTGCTGGTTGGGTCTCTGCACAGCAGCCTGCAGGATCATACACACACACACACACACACACACACACACACACTCTGTACATCAGGGTTATCATTAAAATGAAATTACGATATTCCACTTCAACTTGCTTCATTCATCCCACTTCTCTTTCTTTGTTTTTCATCCGTTTAACCTCAAAATTGTTCATATTTGTTTGTGCTCAAACTTTATCTGCTGTGTCCTACACGCATCACTCATTTCTCGCTGTTCCCCATAAAACACTGAAACTCTTTCCTTTATGTCCTCCGCTGGAAGAGGTATATTTACGGTGCTTTTGGATTGATTTGTGATACTTATCAGTATGTTAACGGCCTGTTTTTTGGTCGGTCGGTTGGTCAGGTTCACACCGTTTCTGTTCTGTTTACCCTTTAGATCAGGGGTCTCAAACTCAAATCAGCTGCGGGCCAGATGCAGCCCACTTCAACCGAACGCGGGCCAGACTAGCGTCCGAACGGCATGGTCGACAATAACACAACTTAACACTCACTTTCAAAAGCAGTCATTGAACCCCACCCTGGGGGATCGGTCCGAATGAGACTACAACACTAGTCCTCCTTTAACTCAGCGGGGGAGACCTAAGGTCATGTGACCGTGGAATTCCTTTATAGCCAAACGTGAAGTTACGTGAATCGAAGCTGCGTAGTAATGGACGGAGACGCTCGTCGGTGACGTCAGATGCTTCATGTGTTGTTAGTGTGAGTCGTAAAGGAAAACTTTATTAAACGAGCGATGCTAACGGTTAGTCACATGATCACCTGCGCGAAAGAGGGCAGGAAACTGAATTTCACCCTCCTGCTCTCTGCACCTCGGCCGACACACACGACCCGCCCCCCATGTCAGTCACATGCATGCCACGTTCACTGGACAAGCACACAGTAGGAAACCAGAATATCATAACATGTCCCACACAGCAGCTGACAGTGGGGTTACAGTATAAAACTTGCGGGCCGCACTAACATTACACTTTCATATTAAGGATGGGGCCACAAAATATCGTCCCGAGGGCCGCAATTGGCCCGCGGGCCGCGAGTTTGAGACCCCTGCTTTAGATGAAGCTAAAGCTGTGCGTGCTCACCTTATATAAGCCTCACATAGTCTACTTTTCATAAACCCACATCTCGCGGACAAACTTTATTGATAAACTGTTAAAGTTTTGTTTTTGCATATCGTTCTGTGTTTCCTTTTCTCTCTAATCGCACATGTTTTCTGTGTGAATGAGCAAAAAGACACAAATAAAAACGCACATCCGAGGGGCCAAAAATAACCTTTTTTATTTTCTATTCGGAAGGATTATTCCGGCCAAACATACATGGGATGTGATTAACTATGGAGGTTTCCGAGCGTGTGTGACTACATGTAGATATGTATGTATGAATTTGTGATCTGTACACATCGGCTGTCCACGTGCCCCCAAACAAACACCAACACAAAGCCTCAGATACACAAAGCAAACTACCGCAACAAAGCCCCGATGCCAGCGGTGCGGCACCATTCAGGAGCCTCACAAAGCAACGCGGTGAATACGAGAGACTCACTCCAGTGTACAGCGAATGGCTTCGTGCCGTGCGGATAACCCTAAACACACACACGGCACGGAGACCTTATTGTCCTCGGGATGATTTTATCTCGTGGAAATCATTTTATTGCTGCCATTGATCTCACTTCTATTTTAGTTCTGTTCTGCTGATTTTTTTTCTCCCTGTTTACTTTTGTTTAGTCGCATAATGAGTCATAATGCAACCGTTTAATTGTCTGCATTTGTTTTCCGTCTCCTGAGGCTCCACGCAGCTTGACTCATTTGAGTCTTTATCAGATACTTAAGACGTTCATTTGTCGTTTGATTTGTCTTTTATGTAAACAGATTTTTGACAAACATTATACATTATATTCCCTCTCGTTTTTCAGGACTGTCCTTCTACAGCCGCGTGGCAGAGAACTGTGAGGACGTGGCTCACTTCAATGAGGTCAGTATCTTTATTTCCCTTTACACCTCGATAAGGACGAACAATTAGCTCTCAACTTAATACAAACAGTCGCCAAACGTCCCTCCCCTGCAGAGAACGACACGCTGATTTCACCGGCAGTTTTCTTAATGAACCTCAATCAATAATTAGGAGGGATAATTGAATCAACACAAGCTTAATTGATTTTTAAGTTCTGCTTTACTACTTCAAAGATGTCAGTAAATACCCCTCTCACCGCCATTACCGTCTGGTGTACTGAACGTTATTGCGCTGCACACCACTCCGTCTTTAGCTTAGTGGTGCTGATGCGATGTCATGCGGCCGAGGTGTAGTTCATCTATATCCTAATGTCAGCTTTTTACTTTTGCAGATTGCATTCACGCTTCAAAAATAATTGATCAGCTGATCGGAGAATTATATTATTGTTTTATTCGGTTTGCATTATCATAGTTTTATTCTGAAAAGAAGCTTCCGCTTTTGTTGCAGGTCCATTTCGATTATGACATTGATACACTGTTATCTATCACCATCTCTTCGGAGGATCGGTTCAATCCATCGGTCCATTTCGATGCATTGGCTTAGAAGAAGCGTCGATTCTGGGTTGATGAATATTAGAATTAAGAGCAATTGAAAGTTATCAGATAAGCTGAACTTATTGTCTATTACGGACTGTAGAAGGACACTGAAGCTTGACATGCTACGCGCCCGTCCACTTCCCCAACTCGCTCTCTCTTAACCTCCGGCTCCTTACACGCAGCTCATCCTTCTTCCTGCTCTGGCACTTGTAAATTGGCATTGCACTTACAATTCAAGGTGGGTTATTGTTCCATGCGGATTTATGGACTTACCAGGATTCACTGTGCATTTACACGGGGAGATACATATAGGACCTCCACATGAGCATATACATGCTGTGAGGGGACGGTGCTGAACCGTAAACCCGCCAAGTTTCACGTCTAATCACATCAGTGTCACTTCTCCAAGTCAAACTTATTCCCACTCGTAAATGCCTCCTAATGACCCTGTCCTGTTCAATTATGGCGTGTAAGGATCTGAGCGGTAAGGCAGAGGTCTCCTTCCATGCATCACGCGGATACCTGCTCAGTTTTAATTAAACTAGACACTCAAGACTGCAGAGGGAGCTCATTCGTCCCTGAAGAAGCTTTTCTACCAAGTACCTTGACTTTTCTCAATCATGCCACAGCCTCTCAGAACCCGAAGGATTTTAATGCAGCCCATCTGGGTCGTGCTCGGTCCATCTCCTCCACGGTTGCTGTGGTATTCTAGGGAAATGTTCCGCACAGGATTCCTGCAGGATCCTGTTACACTGAGAGACCAGCGGCACGAAGGAGTTGCAATGCAAAGAGTCACGTAAGAGATGAGGGTTGGGGGATCAAGAGAGGAAATACTTACAGGCAAAAGAGAAAGAACAGAAGCAGCGGGGTAAAGTCAGGGAATTAAATGAGAAAAAACAAAAGAAACAGGGCCTCAAACACCTAAAGTAGTTCCCCAAGGGAGTTTTTCTTCTCTTTGAGCTGCCTGCTTCTACAGAGAAAAACATTTTTCCTTTGATGGGCTCACAGGCAGAAGGCTGCTTCCTTTGCTGATAACTGGGGCTTTTGTTTGGTTGTTTTCAGGCTAATCAAGAAAATGGCTAAATAACTAAACATTTTCTTGCGTAATCACACACACACACACACACACACACACACACACACACATCTGTGACAAAGAATACTATACTGGTGCATTATGTTATTTTTTGTGACCTGACTAGAGTAACTGGTATGGAACTGAGTAGCTGGCACTGATGTGTGATCTCATGTGATCGCCTCACCCGACGCCCTCGCCTCCGTCCTGTTGCGCCGGCGAGGTCGTTAGCATCACTCAGCATCAATAAAATCGCCAGGACTTCCCATGAAACGACTTGTGCTCCCAGTACTTCCTGTGTGTGCATTTGTGTGTGTGTGTGAGCATGCAAGGGACGTTGTTACATGCTGCCGGTGCATGAGCATTCACGTGCATCGACCCCTCCCCCCCCCACATACTCTTGAGCGATTCCTCATCACGCCCTCCTCATCCGACGTCTTCTCCCTCAGCGCTGGAACACTTGCACGGCTCAGTAAGCTCATTCCAAGTTGAGGCTCATTAGCATAAAGTTGTGTGTCTAGTTGCTTCACGCATGGTCTAGCTGGATGCCTTTGAACCAGGATGCAGAAAGACTGGATGGGGATTCTGTATTCATTATTTACAGCGTGGTGGGACTCGGCTTTTAGCTGCAGTACAGCAGGACTTCCCCCTCGCTGGTGAGACTGCAGCCAAGAACAGAAAGTGCTGCATGTGACCACAAGGGTCATTCTATGCGCCTCTAGATGCCGTATAGCTAATTTACACGTGTGTGTGTGTGTGGCAGGAGGTGTCAGGAAGAATTTGATCAGGAATGTGGTTGTTAAGTTTTCAAACCGGATGTCACAAGATTCGAATGCACACATAATGAGTGCGGGAATATTCCCTCTCTTCCAGCCTCAAGCTGTTACCTCTTCACAGTGCACTAAGTGCACAGTCTGACTCTTTAATGAGAAACCTCTTATTACGTAATGCAAAATCCTAAATCTTTTAGGCCATTGTGTGTTTAATGTTTTAAACTCTCTTCTACGAAGGAGGCTTGCAATTGAAATCTGCCCGGATTCTGTTATTTATTTTCTCTAATGAGGAAGCATTGAGTACTGCAACAAAGTTCCATATCATTGTAAAAACGTTATACTCAACGTTTCAATCATCGATCATATGGTTAAACACATGACATATTGGATTGTAACAAGTAATATGATGTGTAAAGAGATAATAAGAAGAAGGTGGAAAGACGTTTGGAAGAAAATCCTATAAGTAATAATCTGGAAATGTCTGGAAATGAGTGATTTCCTTAAGGGCCTAAAGGTTTCCTTAAATTACATAACATGTCATGTTAATCTTGTGTGTTGTTTATTTTCGTATTGTCTATTTTCTTTAATTCAATTCATTTTATTTTGTATAGGCCAAAATCGCAAATTACAAATTTGCCTCAGAGGGCTTTACAGTCTGTACACATACGACATCCTCTGTCCCGAAACCCACACGTCGGCACAGGAAAAAAAAAAGAAAAAAAACCTTCCAAGAGGGAAAAAAGGGAAGAAACCTTAGGGAGAACGTCAGAGGAGGGATCCCACTCCCGGGATGGACAGACTACAATGGATGCCATGTGTACAGAATGAACAATGTATAATACATGCAATTCCTATGGCAGAAATGATTGAAGTAATTGTGAGTAGTAAGACAGGCGCACAGCAGGACCACTGCAGGGGCAACCACCATCAGATAGAACCACCATCCACAGAAGCCTGTGGGGAGGGAGAGCACAGAGACTTTAGGAGAGGGTAATGTTAGTTTATGAGTACAGTAATATGATTAATATCTAAAATAATGATGATGATGATGGCAGCAGCAGGCGTCAGCAGGGCCACGGCAGGTGTCAGGACCAGGGTCCAGAAGGAACTACGATCTACGGAGACCTGCTAGGGGAGAAAGCACAAAAAAACTCCCTGAAAGAAGCTGAATTGGTCATGTGCATTAATAAAACGTGAATTATTGTAGAACGAGAGCGTGAGAGAGGAGCTTGTGTGTCCTAAGAAGTCCCCCGGCAGTCTAAGCCTATAGCAGCTTAACTAAGGGCTGGTCCGGGCTAACCTGAGCCAGCCCTAACTATAGGCAGAATCAAAGAGGAACGTTTTAAGTTTTACTTCAAAAGAGCTGACCGAATCTGCCCCCCGGACTGAAAGTGGAACCTGGTTCCACAAAAGAGGAGCTTGATAACTGAAGGCTCTGGCCCCCAGCCTACTTTTTAAAACCATAGAAACAACAAGTAACCCAGCATCTATGGAGCGCAGCTGCCTTGTAGGGCAATAAGGTGTTACAGGCTCTTTAAGATACGACGGTGCCTCACCAGCAATTAATTTTTTTTTTTTGCCAACATCAGGGCTATTTTAAGTTAAACAATTTTCCAAACGAATACAGATCTTGGGGGGGGGGGTCTCAATGTCAAAAGGAAAAAACACAAGCTCAGAAATTGTAAAATGTATGATAAAATAACTAGTGGAGTGCACTGCTATGATATAATTGGCATTTTTTCTCTTGTGTTCTGAGCATGTGGCTGTTTTAGTCGTGACTTTAGTGTCCCCGTTAATGCTTTTCAGCACCACTGGAAGCCTCATTAGTTAAATCAGGACGCTGCAGCAGACCGGAAGGGGAAGGGACCACAGCGAGGTCACTTCCCCTAAACTTCCCCCGACCGCCTCTGTTATCAGGTTTGGGACGTTAGTGCTCATGGAAGGCGTGTTTGTTGTATGAGGACATTCCACCATCAGGTTTAGGTTTTTAAACTAATATAGACCTCACGCCGTACAGGATTCACACCCACTGGGGAATAAAGCAACAGAACTTCATGCATCAGGGAAATCTACCCTGGAGGTCATATTTCAACTTCATTTACCACTGTACCTCTGATACTACGACCACTTGACCACAAAGAGGAAGAGGAGGGGTAGAAGTGGCCTGTGGAGAAGGCAGAAGCGGGTGCTAAAAATACATTTTATAAACTTCACCAGTTCTTGAAATAAAGGGCTGCTCGAGGGAGATTTCCCAGCCCTGAGTGCACTGAATAAATAATGATCGCAGCAGAATATTTTACTTGCCAGTTTAGAGTTTGAGGGAAGCTAAAAAAACTGAAGTATGAGTAACCAGAATGAGCAAAGATAACCTACGGCTGCAGAACTTACTGTAAAGAAACTCTCTTACATATTGATTATGTGGATCTAAACAGCAGAATTAAACTCCGCTGCTGCTGCACACAGAGGGAACAAAACACAATCTCTGTAGAGAATGTTGTATTCTTGCTTTGCTGTGTGAGCCCCCACATAGAAGTTGAATTAAAAAAAGCTTGCTTTTGCCGTTTCTCTGTGTAACTA